TGGTTTTAGTTTCCTGGAGGCGCTTAGCAAGGCTAACGCTAGTTTTTCTAGGTGAGGGTACCTATTTTCGGCCTCACCTAAGGTCCTACTAACATAATAAATCGGAAATTGCGTACCTCGTTCTTCCCGAAATAGGACTCCACTTATCGCTATCTCCGAGGCCGCCAAATACAAGTACAGTTGTTCGTCTGTCCTTGGTATGTGAAGCAGCGACGGGCTCGATAAGTACTTCTTTAGCTCCTCCAAAGCTCGTTGGCATACCGGAGTCCATGAAAAGTTATTCTTCTTTTTCAATAGTGCGAAGAATCAATGGCTTTTATCGGATGACCTCGAAATAAATCGCTCGAGGGTGGGTATGCGCCAAGTTAGCTTTTGTACAGCCTTTACGTTGTCTACGACCGTGATATCTTCGATGGCTTTGATCTTGTCGGGTTGATCATGATTCCTCGGTTGGATACCATGAACCCGAGGAATTTACCTGATCCGACTTTGAACGCACATTTTTCCACGTTCAGCTTCATATTGTACTTCTTCAATAAGCTGAAGGTTTCCTGCAAATGTTTGAAATGGTCCTCTGCTCGCAGGGACTTAACCAACATATTGTCAATGTAAACCTCTATCGATTTTCCTATTTTTTCCTCAAACATCCGGTTTACTAGGCGTTGATAAGTGGCACCGACGTTTTTAATCTTAATGGCATCACGTTATAGCAGTACGTGCCGTACTTAATGATGAATGAGGTTTTTTCCTGATCATTCGGGTCCATCCGTATCTGGTTGTACCCGGAATAGACATCGAGAAAACTGAGGGTCTCATGGCTGGTCGTGGCATCGATCATGCAATCAATATTGGGCAGAGGGAAAGAGTCCCCAGGACATGCTTTGTTCATATCCTTATAATCTACACACATTCTTAATTTGTCCCTTTTTAGGGACTACCACTATGTTTGCTAACCAATCTGGGTATTTAAACTCTCTAATGGACCCTATTTTATGGAGTTTAGATACCTCGTCCTTGATGAAAACATGTTTGACCTCGGACTGAGGCCTCATCTTTTGCTTGACCGGATTGATTTTTCGGTTCAGGCTTAGCGTGTGAGTGGTTATCTCTGGTGGGATCCCTGTCATATCAAGATGGGACCAAGCGAAACAATCTATGCTAGCTATGAGAAATTGAAATAAGTTTTTTCCTAAGATCGGGAGTTAACCCCGTGCCCAGGTATACCTTCCAATCGGGTAGATGTTCGATCAATATAACCTGTCCTAGCTCTTCAACAGTCGATTTGGTTGCGTCGGAGTCGTCGGGGATAATAAAAGATCGGGGAACCCCGTAATCATCATCTTCATAAGTCCTTTACTTATCCGGTTGGGTCGTGGCCGGTATCGGTGAGTGCTATTTGCCCTCTTGGTTTGCGCCTGAATTCAGTTCCTTCGATGTTGCGAGCATTGATATTGGAATCACTTCTTCGACTGCAAATATCTCTTTTGCGGTCAGTTTTACCCTGTAGATTGTCTTAATCCCCCTCCTCCCGGAGTTGGAAATTTTAATACTTGGTGAAGAGTTGAGGGTACTGTCCTCATGTTGTGGATCCATGGCCTCCCGAGAAGGGCTTTGTACCTCATGTCTCCTTCGATCACATAAAACTTGGCCTCTTATATGGTTCCGGTGGTATTGACCGGTAACATTATCTTCCCCTTGGTGGTTTCATATGCCATGTTGAACCAGTTTAGAACTCGGATTATAGGCAAGATTTTGTCTTACAGACCGAGCTGCTCCACGACCCTCGACCAAATAATGTTGGCCGAGCTACCTGGATAAATCAACACACGTTTAATTTGAGTTTTATTTATGAGTACTGATATTATCAGTGCATCATTGTAAGGCTGTACGATCCCTTCCACATCCTCGTCGCTGAAAGATAAAATTCCTTCCGGTATGTAGTTTCGAGTTCGTTTCTCCCTAGTGATGGATACTTTGGTGTGTTTCAACATCGGCCCATGTGGGATATCGACTCCACCGATGATCATATTAATGACGTGTTGAGGTTCGATATCTTCTTGTTCTGTCTGTTTGTTAGAATCACTGTTCCTGAAATGATTCTTGGCTCGGTCGCTTAAGAATTCTCGAAGGTGCCCATTGTTGAATAGTCGGGCTATTTCTTCTCTCAGTTATCGACAATCCTCCGTTCTATGACCGTGAGTCCCATGATATTTGCACATCTGATTAGGATCCCTTTGAGCTGCATCAGATTATAGAGGGCGAGGCTATTTGGTATACTTGATGCGCCCGATAGCTGATACGATGGTGGCAACATCAACATTATAGTTGTATTCCGATAGCCTCGACGGTTCTTTAGTCCTGATGGACCTGTCGAAGCTGTTTTTGGCCATGAGCCCCCGATTACTTCGACCTTGGTCATTTCTCCTTTCGTTTGTTATGGGGTTCTGCTCGGACCCACTGCTCCTCCGTTCTCCATTATATGGCAGATATCGATCCCTGTTTGATCTTGGTTCACAATAGATGTCTCTCTTGACTCTGTCGAGGGTTCTGACGGGATAAACAGACTCCAAAGGGCCCCCGAGTTGGTCATCTTTGACTCTGATTTTTGATTGATACCGATTATGTACATTGGCCCAGGTAACGGTATGGTATTCTATCAAATTCTGCTTTAGTTGCTGTGAATCCACCGAGCTTCGAATATTGAGTCCCAGGGTGAAAGCTTGAATAGCCCAATCATCAGCGACTGGCGGCAGATCCATTTGTTCCATTTGAAAATGGGACACGAATTCCTTGAGCATCTCGTTATCCTTCTGTTTGACTTTGAAAAGGTCCGATTTCCTGGTTTCGACCTTGATGGTACCAGCATGTGCTTTTACAAAAGAGTCTGCAAGCATAGCAAATGAGTCAATAGAATTAGGAGGTAAGTTATGATACCATATCATAGCTCCCTTTGACAGGGTTTCCCCAAATAATTTCAGTAGAACAGACTCGATCTCGTCGTCTTCCAAGTCGTTCCCTTTGATGGCACATGTGTAAGAGGTTACATGCTCGTTTCGATTGGTCATTCCATTATACTTAGGTATTTTGGGCATACGAAATTTCTTGGGGATCGGCTTCGGAGCCGCGCTCGGAGGAAAAGGTTTTTGCACGAACTTCCTGACATCCAGTCCTTTCAGTATCGGAGGTGCTCCTGGGATTTGATCTACCTTGGAATTGTAGGTTTTTACCTTTTTGTTGTTTGCTTCGATTTTATTTTCCCCTGATTCTATCCGCTTTATCAGCTTCTCGAGCATCTTTATAATCTCGGGGTTAGTATCCGAGTCTTGTTCATTTGACCTTACTACGACCGGTTCATTTCTACGGGTGACTTCACGGGGCAGATCGGGTCCAACCCTGCTTGGCGTCTAGCTTTGGCTCTACCATTGAGCTATCGCCACTTGTTGAGCTTGCAACATTTCGAAGATCATCTGTAGGCTGATCCCGCCTTCTTTATTATTTTGTGTGTTTCGAGCTGCCGATCGGGCCCCACCACGGATGTTATTTTCGGGGTCGGTAGGCAAGTTTGTGTCGATATCCAGATGTAAATTAACATCAATCAGTTCTGCAAGCGTAATTCCAACAGGATCAGCGGGTGGCCCTACATTACCGGGCGCCATGTTGTTATTCTCACCCTGATGACCGGACTCGTTGTCGATATATAGGGGCATTGATTGAGAGTTTGGCATTTTTAGCCTAAAATCAAAGATACTTCAAAGAGCAAGTGTAAAGTAGTGTGTGTTATGGAGATTTGTATCAAATAACCACTATTATCCTCCCCACGGTGGGCACCAAACTGTTTACCCTCAAAATCAGATAATAATTGAATTTGTTAGGGGTTTAAAGGATATGCGGATTAACTTGATACAAAGCGATAAATTAAATTACAATTAAAATAAATAGCGACACATTTAACTGCAAACCACACAAATTGGATGATTTCAGCTTAGGAAAGCAAGCTACCCTTGAGTTGAATGCACTTTTATTGATACAAAGATATCAAAGAGTAAGAACTTAGAGAATATATTGCTTATCAGTATATGTTATAATGTGTCCCATGAATTATTAAGTCCCCTTTATATATTAGGGAAAACCTACCTTTTAAGATATTTTCTTATTGTTCTATAAAAGGCAAAAGTCCATGATTTGCTGACCGTTGGTCCCTTTTTGACTCGTTCCGTGATTTCTGTCATAATGATTGGTTAATGGAGAGAATTACGGGCCCCTAACGGATGAGTTAGCAAAACTTTCTTCAAGACCGTTAGAAACATGACCGGTTACGCCTTCGGTAAACTCGAGGGAAAATCTGATGGTTTCGATGGCTAACTTTGACAATGCTTTGGGTTCGATCATAATCATCATGTGCCGATCTTGGCTGATGGTGTTAGACGTCAGATCGATCTTCGAGCTCGACTTTACCCGATCACAGATATTTCGACTCTGGCCTAATCAGGGAGTTCGGAAGCTCGATCAAATATCGAGCTCGGTTTTACCCGTATACAAAGTCCTTTGTATTCTTTTAACTCTTTTATTAGAGTTTTCCTATTTTAGTAGTTCTCATAAGTCAAAATAAAAGTGTAAACATTTAAATTTTCAATTAATTAAAAGATTTAATGTTGATTCCTTTATATAGAAAGTACGTTATATTTGTGCTATTCTTATATAAAATTATCCTTTTTAGTAAAAGCATAAAATTAATGCTGAACAAGAAATACAAACTTAACAAAAGTCGTTGCATAGTGTAACAGTTAGTAATATTTTATTGTAACATTTAGTAATGTCTTATTTAATTTGTAAAAATTTACAAGTTGAGATTTTAATTTAATTGAATGTTAAATATGCCAAATAAGAAATACATAAAAATTTATCAAAAGGACTAAAAAATAAAAAATTTCCCCTATTAATAGAGGGAGCCCAACCGTATTTGGCGTGAATAACGACGGAGTCGTTAAAGACGACCCAAGTAGGAAAGGAAAGACTAATAAATTCAACGCTCTCTTAGTAAGTCTTGTGAAGTCGTCTCTCTTTTTTTCTACCGCTAATCGCTTTGGCTCCTTTTCTTTCGTAATTTGTTAAATCCAAAATTGGCCATTGCTCTTTCTCTGCTACTCCTGTTATTCCCAATGCCAGAATAATTCTGCTGGAATTATCAGGTTCACTTTCTTTCTTTAGTAGAGATAGCTTTTGTATACTTGGTTTTACGTTTCTTTGAGTTTGCTTGCGATTGAATTTTAGTAACCCTTGTTTTACAAGTGAAGTTGAACTGTCGGATTTCTGATATTTTTCAATCTCTTTTCTTTCGAAGTATTACATATAAGTTGGTGATCGTTTTCGTTTTCGATGATCACAAGAACTTTGCCGTCTGTTAGTCAGAGTAGTGTGTGTACTCTGTTGTTCATATGCACCCATAATTCTATGTTTATCCCAATTATTTCATGGCAAAAGCAAAATTTAAGTTATTTCCTGGTTTATTTTATAATCATCAAAGAGCTTTTTTTGTTGAAAGACTCGCATTATTCGCATACAATGCCTATCAAGTATTGCTTCTGTTGTTGCACAAAATTTTGGCATGCATGTCCAGACAAGTAAAATTAGCCTCGGTGAAGCATGTTATTGATCATGAAATTTTTGAGGTATCAGACTATCAGTTGTATAGGAAAACCATTCTTCTTTCCTTAAAATTTCTGTGAGAGCAAAACAGACTTGACATATCTATGTTACAACAACAACAACAACAACAACAACAACAACAACAACGACTCAGTCCCAAACAAGTTGGGTATCTATCTTACTTATTGAAAAACATTTGACATGAAGATATGATTGGAAGATAATGAGTTTGACAAAATAATTAATTATATCTCTTAATTTAAAAAAAAAACCCTGAAATTCAATGCTCTAGTACCTAGCTATGTGAATATAACATCTACTTCAAGGGGAGTTTATGTTACTTAGCTACTAGACATTCATTTTTTTTGTATTGGAAGGGAAAGCGAACTTAGAGTGGAAGTTCTAAGAAGAGCAGTAACCTATTCCATAATGAGTCTAATTTTATGGTAAAAAAGTTAACTTATGGCAAGTCTTACCTTATCAAAAAAAAGTCAACTTATGGTTTTCTCTTGGTACACGTTTTTCTTTCCTAAAGAAAATTATAATTTCAATGCATTGTTATAGATTCCCAGCAGTGTGGAAGTATTTGAGCAAAAGTATACAGATCTATCTGTCTCAGGAGATGAATGCATGCTCACTTAATCATCTCTGTTACTTATGCAGTTGTCTCAGTATGCTTTTGTCTGAAAACCTTTGTTCACTGTGGATGTTAGTTTTCCAGTTTCCTCCTGCAGTCTTGGAAATCTGCTATTTGCTTTACTAAGTTGCATTAAGTAATCCAGCTTAGTTTAGAATTTTGTTTCGGTACTCGTCAAACTTTTATTTCTTTGTTAGATTTTGTAGTTTCTGTTGACAAAGAGTTGTGAAGTCATTTTGCACCTTTTTTTCTTTAAGCTGTCAAGCTTCGTGACAAAAGAAATTTCATTAAAATGCTGTTGATTTCCTCTTGCAGGTTGAGTATCTGAGGGATGGGGACTTTTGAAAAAGATGAGATGCCGATGTTATCACCATCATTTCCGCAGTCTGATGAAACTGATGGCTTTCAAAATCGACGTTTTACGTACAGGACAAGGAGTGCATCTCTATCAATGCCAACGAGCTCTATGGATTCCTTTGAAAATGATAGTAGTTTTGTAGGCTATACTGGTCCTTTGAGAAGTGAGAGGCGAACGTCATTGGTTCATATGAGCGGGCCATTATATATTAGTCGCAAGCCTGAGAATAGCTTTTGGCCCACTCCCGCTGCAGTAGTGCACAAACCAACTCTGCCTACAACAGAAAAATATCCTTCAATTGGCAGTGCGGAACGAAATGGTTGGCCTAATAATGACTACACTGGAAAAAATGAACATCTATTGAAGTCTGGACAACTGGGTATGTGCAGTGATCCTTACTGCACAACATGCCCAACCTATTACCATTTGAAACCACGGCAAAAATATTCAAAGTCTTCAGATATAATAGATCACAGGGTATTGCACTTTGCTCAAGTTAAATGTATGTCTTCCTAGCTATGTGCTATTATGTGATTTTTTTCAGTGTCTGGATTCTAGCTTTATCTACCATGCACACTATTTTCAAAATGTGCGTTTTGTTTTTCATCTCACATAGTCAGAATTTCAGCTTTGATCACGTACAGAATTGCTTTTTTTTTATTTTATGGGCTTTCATTTTTTGGTAAACTACTTTGCATGGCCAATCAAGTTTCCCTATTTATGCATTCAAGTTAATAATGGTGAATCCATAATGCTCAAACTTTGATGTTATCCTCGGTTATGGTTTTTGCAATTACAAGAGCTTTGTGGTTTCCAGTTCCAATATCAGTGACCTTATCAATGTCTCAAATAAGATTTTTTTTATCTGTATTCAGTGTAAACCATTTGTAAGTTCAATTGTAAGTATCTTTGACCCTTTGTTCACCTATTATCCTTGTGCCTGAATATTTACAGAATTTATTCCCTACGAGTACACGGTGCCTCTTATGTCAATGATAGATAATTATATGTCTGTGATTATTAAAAGATGACAATGATGATTATATCATATGGTTGACTAGCAGTTCCAATACTAAAATACTTTACCCTTCCTCCCATTCTGTCTTTGCTTGTGCTGATTATAGTTCTTTCTGTGCTTAGTGCGAATGTTGAAACATTGAAGATGTTCTAGTACATTTCCCGCAATGGTTCTCAAGGTGTTATAAGAATAACAAGGGATTGTGAAGTCCCCAGAAATAGATGAATAAAAGTATACTGAAGCATAAGATCTTTCGTCAAAAAAGTGGTCTACGCTTCTTCCAATTACGTTTCTATTGTTATGATGAGTCTTGGGTAATAATGGTTGCCTCCTCAAAGTTAGTTGAGGCTCTGAGCAGATGGTGTTCCATGTCATTTCCTGAGAAGGAAATAAAAGAGAGGAATAGAGTAGTTATGTCCTTTCTTCTTCTTCTTCTCTCTTTTTTTTTTTGCTTTTTCTGGATTTGCTTTGTTAGAGGTACTTCAGATGTTGCTCTTAGATACTTTTATCTCATTTCCTATGAATTCCAAAGGATGCACTGGATTTTGAGCTGTCTAACTTCTCTCATTTTTTTGCTCTTATTGTGCTCTACAGTTCCATAATATGCTGTATGGAGATGCAAAAGGATGGGCAAAGAGAACTTGTTCTTTCTTGCATCCATATATTCCTGGTGTCATGAATCCTCATGCGAAGATTGTCCAGAAGTGGAACAAATTTTTTGTCATCTCATGCCTATTTGCAGTATTTATAGATCCCATGTTCTTCTTTTTGCTTTATGTCCAACAGGTATTCTTTTGTAGTTCTATGAAAGTGAAATCACTTTCCCTTCTATTATTTGGTTATATAGGATAAATCATACATAATTTTGTGTAAAATCTGTCACTTACTTTGTGCTACTTAGACGTGGGTACACGCAGTGTATTTCCATACTGCACCTTATTTGACATGCTTTTACCTGGATAAGAAAGAATCAAGTCATTCTGTCTCTCACCCACTAAGTTTTACTACTATCTAAGATGTGCAATTCATTTCTCTCAAAGTAGGAAGTGAATAGGTTGGTGAAGAGATGATAGCTTAATTAAGATAATGAAAGTATGTCCTTCTGAATTTTGGTGAGCATGACAGGCATACACAAATATGTAAAATGATCACTCCATCACCTTGTGCATACTGAAATTAAAGTATCCTTTCTGTATTTTTGCTTTATAGGAGCTTTCCATTCTAGAAACTGTGAAGGAACCAAAGCTCCAATAATTGCCATGCATAATAAAGAACATAACTTTCATGTAATATCAATATTCCCCCCATGGCCCTAGGATGCAGATGACCTATCAATTATAAAGACTACAAAAGGTTTGTGCTGAAATAAATGAACAGTATTTACTAGCTATGTAAGATGGCTTTGTCGTTCCAATACTTAGACAAGATCATGCCGTGGAAAATATAATTCAGTCTAGAGTAGGCCACTCCGAGCTCAAGAACATCGAGCCGCTTTGTTATGCCTGAGATGAATGACCATTATCTCTTCAACTGAAGTTATTCTCGGAGGTTTTATGCTTTCAGGATAAGAGTTTAAACTGTTAAAGCAGGATTCATATGCTTTTGTAGGCATGTTGTGATCTTGAGACCTTCCACTCCTTTAAATTTTTGTTCATACAAGACATTCCTTTCTTTCTATGGATCTTGAATCTAAAATATTTTTTGTTATTAGGTATTTACATGGAAATTTACATTCTATCTTGCTCATTGGAATTTTTCCGTAGTGCCAGAATCTTCTATTTATGGTAAACAAGGTTTACAATTGAATAAGTTTTCTCTAAAAGATTAATTTTCTTGTTTTGTTTCTAGGGGAACAAATGTATAGTGCTAAATTGGCCCATGACAACAACTATTGTGATTTTGAGGAGCATCACTGATATCGTTTACTTAATTCACATCCTTCTTCAGGTGACAGTTCCCACTTCTCTCTGCAGAATCCTCTTTTCTTTCTGATTAGCAACAGCAATTTACCTGTGCAATATTCTTTGTGCACCATTTGAGCTGTCATCTGGTGCTTTTCTTTTCCTAGTCACCTGTCAGCATAACTGGCTTTTTGGTTATTTCTTGGTTGGTTTTATAATATATATACTGTCTCTCCAGAATGATACTTCTAGATTGACATTTTTATTCTTCTGCAGATTAAAGTTAAAACTAAAAATATTTATTGGCAACTCAACTGCATCCAGTTTAATGCTTAGTTAATTCAATGAGCCAACCAAAGAGTTAATAGATTTTCAAAAGCTGGTTGACCTTATTCTCGTACTCCCACTTTCCTGCATAGAGACAAGTGAGAGACACTTACTTTTGTTCATCTTGTCTATTATTTCAATAATGTGTGCGTACGTGATGCCAACCTTATGCAGTTCCGCTTAGCTTATGTTGCTCCTGAATCTAGGGTGGTAGGAGCAGGTGACCTGGTTGACAACCCTAAAAAGATTGCTATAAATTATCTTTCTGGATACTTTGTCCTTGACTTCTTCGTCGTACTACCACTTCCTCAGGTAAATGTGCCTTCCTTCTCTTCTGTTTCTCTAACCTACATTTCTGTGTACTCCATAATTCAGATACACTAGGACTCAATACTGATAGAATTAGCAACGGCACCCACTTTTTAACTGGCTGTAGTAGGACAACCTTATGTTGATTTTATCGTACCCAACCTGTAGGAGTTAAGTTTTTAGTAATGCTAATTCCCTTGTTGCCTTCTCTGGCACTTCTTGGTTTTGGAGGTATAATTAATATTTTTGCTATGTGCAGATCATCATATTATTGGTTTTGCCCAAGTCTATTGGATCATCTGGGGCAAATTACGCGAAGAATCTATTGAGGGCAGCTATACTACTCCAGTACATTCCTAGGTTGTACAGGTTTTTGCCTTTGCTAGCTGGCCAGTCTCCAAGTGGTTTTATATTTGAGTCGGCATGGGCAAATTTTGTTATAAATCTTCTCACTTTTGTTCTATCGAGCCATGTGGTGGGATCATGCTGGTATCTTTTTGGTTTACAGGTGAATACTTGTTCTTCACCGTGCTTAGTTGTTCTGTTCCTTACTTAAATTTAATTATGTCTTTTGTTGATGATATAGCCATTACTTTTACTTCTTAGTACACTTCTGAGGGTAGAGGGGTTTGCGGGAATGCGTGAAACAAATATGTTGAAAATTTTTAAGTGCTTTCTACCAGCCGCCTTGTCCTTGTTTCCAAGATCATACTCGGATTTAACTTTTTTCCTTCCATCTCTAGAGGGTGAATCAATGCCTTCGAGATGCTTGTCGTAGCTCAAACATAGCAAGGTGTACGGAATTCATAGACTGTGGTCATGGCACCGATTACAGAAAGTTTCGGTCGGATACAACATGGGGCCAGTGGAAGAACAATTCTGATGCAGCTGCTTGTTTTACTAATGGTGGTTTTGACTATGGAATCTATGAACAAGCTGTTAATCTAACAGCCGAAGGGAGTGTTGTCACAAGATATGTGTACTCATTGTTTTGGGGCTTCCAGGTATCTTATCCCAGCATTCATGATTGTGAGTGTACGATTTGTATTAAAAAATGAAATTTGTATCACATGCTCTAGTGGATGTTGTTAAGTAGTTAGTCATGTATAGTGTCCCATATCGGGAAGTAGATACCTATTATTATGTAATTACCCTATATAAATAGGGCGTTGTACAACACTTTAGATAATCAATTATATTTTTTCCCGTGCTTTCTCACATGGTATCAGAGCAATTGTGAGATATTTATCGCTGTGCATAAATTCCAGCGACTCCGGGAAGGAAAAAAAACAGCCTTTTTTCTGGCAAATCAGGACCGTCCGCAGAAAAAAGTTCATATCCGTCGGTGTTGTGCAAAAACCAACACCACCACGAGGTAGATCAGCTTCCGGCGACCAACACGTAAACATTTCTCAGACAGACCTCCTCCCACGCGCCCTCACGCGCCGCCGGAAGAATATTTTCCAACGAGACTCCGACTTCAGGCGCCGGCGCGTGAGGCTTCTTCCGGCCATTTTTTGGCCGAGCTTCTTCAGGACAGCCTGTTCGCACAGCAATTTCGAGTCCACCAGTACTGTTTCCGACAGATTCCGACAACTTTGAAATTTTCCGGCTAGCTACGGTGTTTTCTGGTGAACAGTAACAGCGAAACAGTGAAAGTGAACAGTAGTTTCTCTTACATTTTGGGAGTTAGCTAGGCCTCATGGAGGTTGTTAGAATTTTGGTAGTAACAAAATTGGAACCGACACTTTGAAAGGTTGGATGGTTTCTTTAGCGCATTATATTGAGTTCCTTCAGTACAAAGCATGTAAGCAGACATCTTCTGAGATAGTTTCTGTTGTTCAAACTGGTAATAGCGTGACTTGTGTCTCCCAATCTTCATCCTCCGAGTCGTGGGTCATTGATTCAGGTGCATCTGATCATATTTCTTTCTTAAACCATGGCAACTGCAATAGATCAAGCAAGTCCACTTCCTTCCTTACCTTTAGATTCAGTTCTTTATGTTCCCAGTAGTCCTTTTAATATCATAGCCGTTCGTCGCTTAGCCAAATCACTTAAATACGCTGTTTTATTTCTTGATGACCTTGTTTTTATACAGGAACACAGTACGGGGCGGATCATTGGTACTAGGCGTGAATCAAATGGACTTTATTACCTTATCCTTGCTAAATCACATGGACTCACATCTTGTCTTCCTTAAACAACTTGTCCTGTTACTGATTCACCAGATTTATTACATAAACGGTTGGGACATCCCAGTTTGTCAAAACTTCTGAAAATGGTACCTGTTTTATCTCACTTATCTACTCTAGAGTGTGAGTCATGTCAGCTCGTTAAGCATACTCGCTCCCATTTCCTTCGGCGTCTTGATAATCGAGCAGAGTCACCTATTACTTTAGTCCATTCAGACGTTTGGGTCCTAGTCGGGTCAGTTTTACCTTGGGATTCTGCTGCTTTGTCAGTTTCATTGATGATTATTCCAGGTGCACTTGGATAGTTTTGATGAAAAATCGATCTGAGTTGTTTTCTATTTTTCAGACCTTCCACACTGAAATTCAAAATGAATTTGGGGTTTCTATCCGCACATTTCGTAGTGATAATTCCCTAGAGTATTTGTCTTCCCCATTTCAGCAGTTTATGAACTCTCGTGAGATTATTCATCAAACATCTTATACCTACACATCTCAACAAAATGGGGTAGCTGAAAGAAAGAATAGACATCTTATTGAAACTGCTCGTACCCTACTCATGCAATCTCATATTTCGTTGCGTTTTTGGGGGATGCAGTTCTTACATCTTGCTATCTTATTAATCGTATGCCATCTTCAGCTATCTAGAATCAAGTTTCATTCTCTGTCCTGTTTCCTACTTACCTTTGTTCTCTCTTCCACCCCGTGTCTTTGGAAGCACGTGTTTTGTTCATAACCTTACTCCAGGAAAAGATAAGTTAGCCCCTCGTGCTCTTAAGTGCGTATTTCTGGGTTACTCGAGAATGCAAAAGGGGTATCGATGCTATTCTCCTGACCTCCAACGGTACCTTATGTTCGCTGATGTTACATTCTTTGAAACCCAATCATACTTCACAGGTCCAGGCAATCACTTAGATATTTCTGAGGTGCTACCAGTTTCATCTTTTGGAGATTCAGTCGCTATCTCCCATTCATCTTCCACTACAACTCCAGCTCCACCATCTACAGCTCCAGTTGCAGCTCCGCCACCTATAGCTCCAGTTCCACCACCTAGTCCAGTTCAACCTTCTGCAGCTCCACCACTCTTGACTTATCATCGCCGTCCACGACCAGCATCAGGCCCAGGTGATTCACGTCCTGCATCAAATTCTGCACCTACTGCGGACTTGTCTCCTGTTAGTCAACTAATTGCACTCCGCAAAGGTGTACGATGCACACTTAATACTAATCCTCATTATGTCGGTTTAAGTTATCATCGTCTATCATCACCTCATTATGTTTTTATATCATCTTTGTCCATTATTTCTATCCCTAAGTCTACATATGAGGCACTATCTCATTCAGGATGGCGACATGCTATGATTGACGAGATGTCTGCTTTACATGCGAGTGACACTTGGGAGCTTGTTCCTCTTCCTTCAGGTAAGTCTATTGTTGGTTGTCGTTGGGTTTATGCAGTCAAAGTCGGCCCGGATGGCCAGGTTGATCGGCTTAAGGCTCGTCTTGTTGCAAAAAGATACACTAAGTTTTTTGGGCTTGATTATAGTGACACTTTCTCTCACGTGGCTAAAGTAGCATCTGTTCGTCTTTTTTTGTCCATGGCTGCCATACGTAATTGGCCTCTTTATCAGTTAGACATTAAGAATGCTTTTCTCCACGGTGATCTTGAGGAAGAAGTTTATATGGAGCAACCACCTGGTTTTGTTGCTCAGGGGGAGTCTAGTGGTCTTGTATGCCGATTGCGCAGGTCACTATATGGTTTGAAACAGTCCTCTCGAGCTTGATTTGGTAAGTTCAGCACAACTATTCAGGAGTTCAGCATGACTCATAATGAAGCTGATCACTCTTTGTTTTATCGGCATTTTGCTCCTAATCTGTGTATTTATCTGGTGGTTTATGTTGATGATATTGTTATTACTGGCAATGATCAATATGGTATTACTAATCTGAAATATTATCTTTTTCAGCACTTCCAGACTAAGGATCTGGGTGATTGAAGCATTTTCTAGGTATTGAGGTCGCTCAGTCTAGCTCAGGTATTGTTATTTCACAGCAGAAGTATGACTTATACATTCTTTAGGAGACTAGAATGATGGGCTGCAGACCTGTTGACACTCTTATGGATCCGAATGCTAAGCAATTGACATTTATTTTCCGGTGAGTGTTGTAAGTCAGTTTATGGATTCTCCCTGTGATAATCACTAGGATGCAGTTGTACGCATTTTTCGGTATATAAAGTCAGCTCCAGACAAAGGATTACTATTCGAGAATCGAGGTCACGAGCAGATTGTTGGGTACACAGATGCTGATTGGGCATGATCACCTTCTGATAGACGTTATACGACTGAATATTGTGTTCTAGTAGGAGGTAATTTGGTCTCTTGGAAGAGCAAGAAACAGAATGTAGTTGCTCGATCTAGCGCCGAAACCGAATATCGGGCCATGGCTATGGCAACGTGTGAGCTAGCTTAGGTCAAGCAGTTGCTCAAGGAGTTGAAGTTCGGAGAAATCAACAAGATGGAACTGGTGTGTGATAATCAAGCTGCTTTTCATATTGCGTCAAATTCGGTATTTCATGAGAGGACTAAACACATTGAAATCGACTGTCACTTTGTCAAAGTAAAGATACTCTCTAGGAGATATTGTTACAAAACTTGTGAAGTCGAATGATCAGCTAGCTGATATTTTCACTAAGTCTCTTACTGGTTCTCGTATTGGTTACATCTATAACAAGCTCGGTACAAATGATTTATATGCACTGGCTTGAGGGGGAGTGTTAAGTAGTTAGTCATTTATCGTGTCCCACATCGGGAAGTAGATACCTATTATTGTGTAATCGCTGTATATAAATAAGGCGTTGTGCAACACTTTAGATAATCAATAATATTTTCTCCCGTGTGAGAAACACAGATGTGATAGGTGCAGAGCTCTTGATATTTTTGTATAACTTCAAATTTATGTAAGAGTACTTCTTTATAAAGAATTATTAACTTTTTTCTGGAGTGCTTTCAATTGACTTTTGTGTTCCCAAACATTTTGGTCGAGTACTATGGCAGGCAAAAGCTTTATTGTTTTGTAGGAAATTCCCAATTTTAGATCCACATTGCGTGATAAGTTGTTCAGATATTGTCATACCTTTTCCCTATGTTTAGAAACTAGGGCGAGGGAGGCAGAGAACAGAAATTACAAGTAGGAAAAGTAGCACGGTCTTCCTCTGCTGGGATGTACAATTAAACTTAAATTGGGGTTATCTACCAAAAACTACGTTAGATCTGTTTTTGAATGTCTTCAAGATGGACTTAATTTTACCAAAGATGATGAGAACGTGAACTCACAACCATTTACGTAGTGGAGAGATCATTTCTTATTTTGTGCAAGAGAAACCACAGAAATTATTAGACCCCAAAAAGAAGTTATAGCTCTCTTTCCACTTTGCTTCCTCAAACCAAACAAGGGATCGAAAATTACCTTCCTTTTTTTATCATTCCCTAGCTTCCAGACGTAGGACTAGGAGTCGAACTAATATGATTAGTATTCGGAATTCTATTTCATACGTGGTTTTGGTTTCATTATGCTAGTTTTTTTTTTTTTTTACATCTTTTGTAAACTTTTTGTCTTTGAGGAGCTGGATATCTTAATTTTACTTCTTGACTTTGAAACTGATGTGCGTAATATTGAACCATTATACTTTTATCTCATATGCAACCTAGGTTCTCTAGTTTCTTCTTCGTGTCTGTAGAAGGAATCCTAGTTTCATCATGCATTTTGGATATACTTTTGGTCGCTTTTTTGTTGGATGTAAGAAAAGTTCA